GCCTCAGTGGGTCCAGCTTGGGGAGGGAGAAGGTGTGTGTGTGTCTGGCTCATCCCCCTTCCTCTCCTGCCGCCTCCATCCTGTCCTCCTGAGGAGTCTCCTGGTTTCCGTGACCCAAACCCTTGTTCTCGGAAGTTGTTGCTCAGCGCTCACTGTCTGTCCAGGAGTGTCAGGTGTGTCTGTTGCTCGTTGCTCAAGTGTGGCAGGGATGGCCACGTACTCAAGACCTGCTGTGCAACTTCGGGCTTCACCCGCCTGCTGTGGTGGGACAAACGGAGTCAATGACATCCTCCTGAGTCTTGCTCTCAGGAAACTCCTGCCCAGGGACCAGCAGTTAGCATAATGGCTATGTCTCTGGACTCCCGTGTAGTCGACTACAGTTTGAGTCCCAGACCCGGTGCTTAAACTCACGCTGGGCACGTGTGCGTGCATGCCCAAGATCCTGAGAGGAGAGCGGGGGAGAGGGGTTGGCGGGTTGCCCATCCCCCCGCCCCTGTCTCTCTCTGTCTTTCTGGCGAGCACACGTGCCCTATAACAAAAACTTCTCCCCAAAAAAGAGAACCTCCTGCCTTTTGGGGCAGGGATGGTGGGTGTATGGGTGGACATCTGACCCACAGAGGAGATTGCCATGGGGATACCACAGGATGGCTGTGGCAGGGGGGGGAGGAGAGGGAGAATGGAGGGCCCCGTCTCAGCCACACAGGAGCCTGGAGGGGTGAGGGCAGGAGAGAGGACTACGGGATGGATGTCCGCAGCTCTCCCTGCCGCTTGTACCTGGGGTCTCACTCTGCCTAAAACTGCCATTCATGCCCCCTTCTCTGATGACATTTTTGTTTTCTTGCTCCACAGTGATTATCACTGACGAGCCGTGCATGTCACTTCTCAGCTTCCGTGCACACTCATGTGCGCTCGAGGGTCACCCTGCCGCGTTCCCAGTGTCTGTGCAGTCCGGCACAGAACAGGAGAAGCTGTGTGGGAGGAACGAATGATTTTAAGCACCTGCTTAGGGTCCAGGAACAGGCCGCTGTGAACACTTGCTTCCCCTCTTGAGCAGTTTACAGCTTAGTCAACAGAGGAACTTCTGTGATTTGTTTTGTTTTGTTTTTATTTTGTCAGAAGTGCATGCACTCATAGGAGAGAGAAGAAGAGTGAGAAATCACCCCCCCCCATGGGGAATGGTTGTTCTGCAATTTCTCCTCCATTTCTCCCTCCTTTGTGGATTCTAGAAATTCATGAACACATTTCCTGAATGTTTTTGGAACCATCAGGTCTGGGATTTAAACCTATCAGTGGACCATGTGGGATCCAGCCATCTTAACAACCATGAACTTCTGTGATTTAA